TATAAAAACACGTTGAAAATAAAGTTATTTAAACCTCTCTCGCTTAGCACCAATAGATATTAAAATATTTATCTGATTTAACTTATTACTTAAATTCTTTTTAAATTTCTAAACAGGTGGCAACCCCTCCTAAAAAATTTCGAAATAAAGCTTTCTCAAGAAATTCCCTTCAAAACCATATTCGAAGTACATCATTTTTGGGCCCATTTTGTTGTAATATTTTATGTAATTTTTAAATTGATTTTAAGCTTTGACAAAAGGCGTAAATTCTTTTCAAAAAATATATCAACGCTTATCCTAAATTTTCACATTTATAATGAATATTAAGTAGTGGAATTTCTAGTATGACTGCTTTTCAAAAGATCCCACATACTTTTCTATTGTTAGCACTCTGACGTTGGTCAAGCATGTAATATGCTCGTTAAATCCTATCCTCGTGCAGATATTGTAAAAAATTATACCTACGCAATGGCAAGTGCGTGTGGGATATCCAACAATTAGCTTAAATTAAATTTTTGTCGTACCACATACATACATAGAGTTTTCTTTTATATCAATGCGTATATTTTTACTTACTTCGAACTTTTAGACAAGTTCGGGAATTTTTCATCGCTTGCGTGATTGGCCAATAATTTTACTGTCAATGCATTTATTTACTATTCATTTATTTCTTCCGCCCTAATTTCGAACAAAAGTTCTTAGTTGGTTTGTATTCCAAAATTTTTGATAGCGTCCTGCCGGAGCATTACTCGGAAGTGTCCTTCAAAAGTTTTGTTAATGCATACCAAAGCGCCTACCTATCAGAATTTAGATAGGCATAAATATTAAATGTAGCCATGTTCGTAGTTATAAGTATATACAAATGTACCCCTACGCATGTTTACATACAAATGTAAATACTAAAAATGCGTAGAAAAATATACGCAAATATAAATTAAAAATAACTAATGCTTCAATTGACTTATTGATATTCGTAGTCGAGATGGGTGCGTGACCAGCTATTCAATACCGATCCTGCCCATGCCGACATTAAAATTTGTATGTCCTCAATCCGCCCTCTGACAATTTTAAGCAGTTAGTTTGAGCTCCACTGCATTTGTATATTAAACTAATTTAATTGATGAACTTTAATTTCAAATTCAGTACAAAAAATATGGTCGGCTTCTAAGAAGCAAAAAATCCAACTGGCGGTAGCTCGAGTATCTAAAAATTACAGCTCACGTTGTAAAGGTGCCAGTATGATTAATTGTTGCGATGATCACTTGCTGGAAGTTGCCATAGGAATATTGTTGCGAGAACCACTTGTTGAGCATTGCCACAAGTCCATATTGCCTATATGACCCTGTCTAGGCTGATGTGCCATGAAAGGAGGGGGGCCATTAGCCCTAAGCGGTTTGTCTGGTATACTAGTGGTATCTCCTGGAAAGTGTGTACTCGTGTCAAGGGTATCCTCCTCCGTCTCAGTCCACGAACCTTGAGCCCTCGTCAAGCAGCTTGGCGTTCCGATGTCTTTTTTAACTCACAAAGGAAATCAAAATTTATTGCTCTTGAATTGAGTTGCAGTGAGGAGCAACTTGGAAATTCTATTCCTGCTTTTGCAAATTTTGTCTTAAAATACAATACTCAACAAAACTAAGGGAGGTTTTAAAAAATGAAATTGAAGCTAAACAAACCCGATATATGATCCACATGCCGGCCTAACTGAAAAAAAAAATTTTCAAGGTCTTGGACAAAAAATTTGCAAAATTATTTATTCGCGCTAACAGTTAGGATTTCATAGCTCCTAAAAAATTTTAGCCAAGAAATCTAAAAACTAGGATCTTAAAGCTTCAAAATGGTTTCTGTTTTTTAAGTGCCAATACAACCATTTTTCAGCGAAATACTTACTGTCTGTCAAATATCACCGAAAAATTTTGATTTTTTTTCTTTAATTTTTTGTGAGTCTTATATCGTATCGCATACATAAATAGGTAAAGCCAAGCCAAAATTTTTGTTTTACTATCGAAAACGGATACATTTTCCTGGACTCCACTTACATCTTTTGAACCCCAATGTTATTTCACGCCAGCGTAGACCCCTGGGGGTCCACGTGAACCACTTTTGGAATCACTGGTGTAAATAAATGCAGTAACATATTTCATTATAGAATCCGTTGTCAGAACCTTTTTAATTTGGAAAAAGTTTGATTTTGCAGTTATTTATGAAGGGAATATTTAAAAAATGTAAATTTTTTTTTAGTGTTGTTTTTCAAAGTTCATAAATGTATGTAGATATTCAGATTATGAAATTAAAATTAGAAACTGATCTATGTGACAATAAAATTTAAGGGGACTAGGGGGGATCTCATTAATTTTTAGTTCCTTTATATCTCATAATAATGTTGGAAATATTCCAGCAACCAATAAAAACTTGCTCAATACGTTTTTTAGCATTTGGTTAAAATTTTTTTTTTCTAGACATTTATTGCTTTATTTGCATTTTTTGCTCCATGTAAAGGATTAACATACATACTTACCTACATACATATGTATGTACCTAACTGCTCACGAATTGCATGTACATGTAGCAAAAATTCTTCAGCTGTCATTTGAACTGCAGTCTTTTTATGCATTTCTAAGTACCCATTTGTATTCACTAATAAATACTCGTATGTTCATAAAAGCTATTGGCTATGTATGCACTTTATAAGTTGGTCATGCGAACCGGTTTTTCGGTTCATTAAATCAATTTAAGCACAGGGCCAACGAGTTACGAGTGCATTGGTAGTGAAAATATTTTACTGCCAGCAAGTGTTGCGCGAGTCAGTTGAATTTCAAATGCACTTCAATTAAAAATGCAAGACTATGATGGGTTTTTAGATTTGTACTTTAATGTATGTACATGTGGGCAAATCTCCGAAACTAGCTCAGCTTTAAATTAATTTTATTAATGTAATTTTAATTTTTATATAAAATCTTGTGTAATCTTGATGACAAATTTGACGAATTTTTGTAACTTATTTAGTTTTTTTTTTTAATTTTAATATTGTCATTTTAATTTTTATAAAGAATCAAAGTAGTTAAAACAACAATTTTGATATATCTCGTTGGGTACCTTTTTGTATTTTTTTTAGTATAACATTTTCAGTGTAATACGGAGACTTTCAAAAATCATGGTAAATAGTAATTGAAATATTGGAAAATGTACATACGCTCCCAATCATTGGATTAGCAGACCCTTTTTATCCTCAGTACGTACATGCAATTTTCCTTTTGTTTATTTAATATTCAATAATAAAATTTTAACAGGCCGAGGTCTGTACATTATACATAGATATTAAAGAAAAATTAATATGAGGGGTCTTAATTAGGGCAACAGAATCCTAATCAACAATTTTTAGAATTTTTGTCTGTCTGTCTGTCTGTTTGTATGTTTGTACGCACATCACTCGAAAACTAATGCATGAAATTGAATGCAGTTTTCACCGATGTATTGCTGGAGGTCTGACTTAAAATATAGAAAGAAAAAAATTGAGAGCTGCCACCTGTTTGAATATTACAGTTTGAGTTATTTGACTGGATAAAGTAAATATTGAAATATGGATGTCAAAAGAAAGAAGTTTAGCAGGCTTACAGTCGAAAATATCTTTGTGGAGGTTGCCACATATTTGAAATTTTAATTTTATTTACTTGATAAGATAAATTAAATATTGAAGTATGGTTATCAAACTGAGGAGGTTTAGGAAAGTTTACTGCCGAAAATATTTTCGAAGAGGGTTGCCACCTGTTCGAAAAATTGGTTTTAAGTATTGGTTCAAGCAACACAAAAATACTTTTAAGGCGCAGTGAATCAAGCCGGGTATTTGCCAGCTTTTTATAAAAATGTAGCATATTCTACGTGTAAATCCGATTTAAAAATTTTATAAAAATTAGCTATCATAATGACCTGCAGTGCATAAGTTAATAATATTTTTCGAAAAATTCTGGGTATGCAGTTTTGTTCGCCATTACATTTTAGCTACAAAATACCGTTGACTTTTGACATTTTTTTATTGAAGGTGCTACGCATTTTCTTTCATTAACATTTTTTTTCGAGCATACTTTGAATGGAAGAAAATGCATGACACTGTCAACAAAAAAAATTTTCAAAAATCGGCGGTATTTTGTAGCTAAAATTTAATGGGCAACAAAACTGCATACCCAAAATTTTTCTAAAAATATTATTAACCTATGTAATTTTGTACTTATATAAAGGACTTTCAGAACTTTGGGCAGTGCGGTTAACGAATTTTTAAATATTTACTCAAAAATTATATTCATAAAGGAGCTTAAGCAAAAATTTGTTATTCGTAATTTTTTTTTTGGAATTTAGGCGTGGCCCGCCTACTTGTGTCAAATATTTATATCTCGAAAACCACTTCACCACTCTGTACCAAATTAGATATAAACATTGCACGTGACCTTCTTAAATAGTGTCTCGGAATTTTTTTATGTCGTAATTTAAAAATTTACGTTTTTCAACGTTGAATCGCACGGTTCCGGAGATTTGCTCATATACATATGTATGCACATAAACATACATACATATATAAGTGTAAAAAGCTCAACTTTCACTGGTTCTGTTTTACTTTGCTTTTAACTTAATAGATATACATGCGTACGCATACAAATAGGTACATGAACTTTTGTACACACTAGGGTGATTGACTCGGTTTTTTTCCAAACCGGTTTTTGAATATTTTGAAACATCGATGGACAATATCGAATTTTGAACCGCTATTATCGTTGGATAGGAGTGTGTAATACATGTATAGGTTTTTATTTTTTTTATATATTAATTTTTTACCTTTTTTTATTTATTATTTTTTAATTTTGTTTTGGCTATGGCGCTGGTTAAAAAGCGTATTTTCACAGGCACACTTGCGATAGCATTCGAGATTGGCCATTTGCGCCACTTACGGCGACGTTCAGCTGATGTATGCCAGCCACAAATATTTTCTTTTTTTTCAACCAACTTTACAGCTGTGCTTTGCGACACGAGTAGCTGCAGAAATAATAAAACTAAAAAAATAAACCAAAGAATAAAAACATTTGTTAACGTTGACTACGAAAACATTCCAATCACGTATTTGGCTGGAGCCGTGTGTAGCTGTGGCGAGTGAATGTGCAACAAAGCGTGTAAGCTGGCAGCGAGTAGCAGAGCAACAAAAGTGTTAAAATTAAAAAGTGATAGTAAAAAAATACGATTTAGATAACGAAAGAATAAAAAAGAGCAAATGATTGTGTAAAAAAAAACAAAAAATAAATAAAAAAATTTAAGCGCAGCAAAAAAATTTACAGAACCAACAAAGAAAATTCCTCTAAAATGTACAAGAGAAAGGTCTAAAGTGCTTGTGTGTGTGTGCAATTGATGTTTTGTTTCTTGTAAATGCAACAGGCGATAAATCGATGATTCAGCAAGGAATTTGAAAAAAAAAAATAAAAATTAAATTAAAAATTAACTGAAATTGGCTGAAGTGACTGGCAAGCTGCTAAAACAAGTGATTTAAACTAATGTACCTGCTGCTAAGACAAATAATTTTGCTTACTTAGTGAATGTGATTTAACAAAAAAAAAAAATTATTTAAAAAATTTAATTCAATAACTCTACTTGCTGATTGCTTCAAAAAAACAACTAAAAAAAAAAAATTGTGAACTTTAATGTCGCGCGCTTTTTCGTAATTTTTGTTCTTGTTTTTTTCTCGCATGCGATACATATACATATACATATCTCACAAAACTACCTACTTAACAAAAATGTATAATTAACTCTTTCGGGTACCAGCACCTACAAACAAAAAAAAAAACAAATTCTAATTATAATTCAACTGGCCAAATATAACGCCCACCATCCATACATTCCGCGTGGAACGAAAATAAATGCAACAACAGAGCTTAAGTTGCGCCCAATTATAACGCAGACAACGCGCCAAACGACAGCCTTTGAAGTTGGCGGCGCCACCTACGACCACCACCTACCTACCACCCACCTACCAAAAATCAACCGTCACACAAAGTTAATTAATTAGCGCGCAGTTAGCACCTGAGGGGGAAAGGGAGAGCAGAGCAGAGATTTTCATTTCGAAAAGTGTTAAATTAAAATCCATCAAAACGGCTAACGAAGCGCTCGCCCTGGCGGCTATATCAGCGCCAACAACACCACCACCACCACCACCAGCATTGCTGCTGTTGACACCAACCTCAACGACGCCAACGACGGCATCGACGCGCTCACCGGTAGAGACGCCAGCAACATCAATGCCCCCCGTCGAACTGCGTTTGGCAGTGGCGACAGCGCCACAAATTGAAGAAGTGGCAGTAGCGGGTGTAAAGCAGGGGGAGGAGTTAGAGGAAATTCTCCCTGTAGAAGCGGAGTTGGTGTCGGCGCAAAAAGCTGCAGCTGCAGGCGACAATAGCTGCCTAACTGATAGCACAAGTGATATTGCGCCAGTTGTTGTTCCGCCACAGCAGTGTACAACGCAGCAGAATACGACTGTAGCAACAGCAGCTGTGCCAACAACAACACCAACAGCAACTCATACGCCTACTAGTAGCCCTCTTGCGAACGGTAATAATAATAGTCTGCGCCGTAAGAACGGCAACTTTAAAGAAAGTCCAAAAGACGGCGCTACTACTACTTTAACTAAAGGCTTGCCGAACCCTTGTTATACCCTTGGTCGCAGCAGTAAGCCGAAAGTTAATTTGAAAATGCGCTTCAAGGTTGCCAAACGTATTTGTCAGCGTCGCTTGCGTCCGAAGGCTGTCGATGAAAATTATCCACAACCGCAGTAAGTTTATTGAGAAAATGCTATGTATGTACTAACATTTACCAATTTTTAAGAGATTTATTGTTAACCTTTTATGATTGGTATTGGAAAATATCGAGTACTTTTCAGAATCGAGTTCTTTGGTATCGATACTTTTAAGGATCGGGTATTTTTATGATTACTGAGTTCTTTCAGCACCTTATTCAATTTAATACATTAATCCCAAATTATATCAAATGTACTGGGTACAAATATTGTACTTGAAAATTATATTAATTTCTGAATACCGGTACATTTTAATAGAATTCGGTACTTTTAAGAATCTTCGACACTTAAAACTAAGTACTTTGAATCCATCCTGTTTTATAAGAGTTATGATTGGAACAGAGTATATTTGAGTAGTGAAATCTTCTTTTTAGTTCTGAGTACTTTTGAGTTCTTTAGTGAGTACTGAGTACTTTGTAGAACTCAGTAGCGATACGTTTGAAAATCGGGTCCTTTCGATCTTATTGAGAATCGAGTTCTGAGTACGTTTGGAATCAATTCTGCATCCTAAGAACTCCATGGGGAAGGCTTCGTCTTTTAAAAGAAAACAACTGAGTGCGTGTAGTCCTTACGCGGGAATAAGTGAAACTTAATAGAACGAATTCCAGTAAGAAGGTAGTTTCCTATATATTTTTCGATGTACAGTACATTCTGGATATAAAAGCCGAGCAGCAAAATGCACAAAATTCAAATACTTTATCTTTATACGAACTTTTGGGACTTATGTAAAAAAAAACCGTTAATGAAACAACCGCTCTTATAGAAAAAACCTGCATACAATACGAATTATGTATGTAAATTAGGGTGGTCCAAACAACAAAGTATATAATTTTAAGCCTCAACGCTTTGAATTTTTCTGAATGGAAGAAAAGAATACCCGTATTTTTTTGTTTAAAAAAATTATATTTAGAACTGCTTCAAAGCCCATAAAGTTGTCTATGCATTTTATATGGGAAAAAACACTTTTTCGTAGAAATTGTATGGAATTTGAAAATCTATATTTTTTCATCGTAAAACTCTGTTTCTCTTCAAGCAGGGATCACACGATTTGTACATTTGTACAGATTTGCACATTTTCGCAGGTACAGGGTGGTGCTTTGATTTGAAAATCGAATCATATCAGCACTTGTAGTCACACATTTTTTAAATAAAATTTAGGGGCTCCCATTTGCCGTGCTTAGATCAGCTTGGTGTCTCAAATCGTAAGCATTAATGACCTCAGTGTGAGTATTCGTCCTTTGGCAAATTTCAATGTTCTCTATCTAAATTACTTTTATTTTTCACCAACCTCTCTATTTAATAATCATATCAGCAAGTACCTTCAATATATTTACATATGTACCTATCTACATAACTTTCACAAGTGAAACTTTTTCATTGCAAATAAAAGTCTACGTGACAATTTACAAATATTTGAAAGACAATTGCACAGATTCTTAAACAATCTAAATATATACGATTACATACTCACATATGTAATAGCATATACGCAAAATTTATTCTTCAGCTAACATACATATATACGAGTACACATGGATTTATGTACACTTTTGTCGATACCTTACAGAGATCTGCATTTATTCGCCTTTTTAAGTCATTGGTTGACTTACACTTCATATTAGTGGATATAAGTCAATGAAGACTATTCATTAATATCCTTTAATAATCGTTTACACACGGCATACTACCCGATAGTATGTACGATGAGTAAGTTCTCTGTTCATATGGACCGAATACTTAAATGTGCTCTACCGAAATGAGTCACAGCACCAAAAAGCACCAAGAGTTCAGTGGAATGACATATGTAAGTACTCTGAGTCTTTTTAGTTTAGCTTTCTCGATATTTGAGTTCAGGAATATACATGACAACAAAACATATCGTCGCTTGACCCGCAATACCTCACATGCAGTAAATGCGATACCATATATGTATGTATAAGATAGTCCGAAAATTTCATAAAAGAGCGAATACATTTTTTTCTTCAGAAGTTTTGAATGGTTTTCTAACAGAAACTCACTGAATAATAGCTTCTACTGTAATTATACAGGTTTACAACAAACAATTTTTTTATGGATGCTCTTGCATGGATGCAATTGCTCTGTAGAAGTTGTCGGGATATTTGCAATTCAGCTTAAAAAATGTAACAATACTAATAAGAAAATTGTTTTGTAAGAGAACAGGATTTAATACAAATATAAAAAATTTACACAGAATCTGTTACTTTTTAAATTTTTTCCCTGTTAAAGTTTACATTTTTTAATTTTTTCAACAAAAAACAAAAAATCTGGAATGATTATTTAATTTCTCAGAAACTATCAGGCCTATCGAAATATCATGTATAAACGGTTTATGGAGAATTTTGTTAGTTTTCATATGCCGTACTGCCTATTGCGATTGTTCAATTGGTTCTTGAAATATACGTGCATAAGTGGAACCACTTTTTAAAGCTGAATAACGGTCAATTGCAAAACATCTTGAAAACTTATCCATAGAAGAAAACTTAACCTGATTTTCGGAATCACCGCGCAATTCTTCACAAAAATTAGATAGTGGCATCCCGGGAACAAAGAAAGAACAAAAATTTATGATCCAGTATTATTCATCATTAAATTTGTGAAGTGGTAAAATATTGAGACAGCGTGACGAAAACAAACTTTTTTTCTGCACCGCCCCATACATTTTTTCCAATCTTTGAGAAGGTCTTGATTCACAAGTCGATATGCAAATTTTTTCTCAAAAAATGTTTTCCAAGATTTCAATTTTTAGTTGAATAAAGTTTCAATGCAAATTGATATCCAAGCTTTTCTCAGGTGGAAAACTCAAATTACTTTTCATACAAAAATGTACCACCTTTTTTTTTTTGAAGAAAGGGTTGGTTCTCCAACTGAGCAACCCTTGAAAATGAAAATTTGAATATGAATTGGATCTCCACTTGACCTCCAACCCAAATGTTTAGCACAAAATAATACTCAACTCGAATAAATTAGCAAACTAATTGGTAATAAGCTGATTGAAATAAGGATCGGAATACTTTCGAGTATTTTTTGTTTTTGGTAGGATTAGTCATCGTCTTTTTTCGAATTATTAAGAGTATGCAATTGCACCAATTTTTATGGCTCATGACTTAAGTATGCTATGTAATTTCATTAGTATTCATTGCAGATCTCTGATTCCTTACGCCCACACATAAAGTTACAAATTTACGCAGATTTTCAACTAAATGAACGCAATTTAAATATAACTTTCACAAAACCAAATTAGATTCGTTTATCATTATTTATCACCAGAGTGACAGTCATCATATCTGCTTGTCTGCCATTTTCGTTGAGGCACTCACTGCTGGTTAGTGGATTACCTGCCTTACTTGGAGGCTGAATGGGGCATTCGTCGCATGGCGCTGCGTCGACTATATGTATGTACATAGAAGAAGAATAGCAGAAGAAAATGTCGCTGCTACGATTCATTGAAATTCTAAACTGAGCTTGAAAATAATAAAAATAAATATAATTTATCAGACACTACATAAATTTTGCAGACGCACAACAACTTTGCGGTTGTGAGTGTGTGTGTGTGTGTGTGTGAATGAGAAGAATGGGTAAGCGGTCCATTAGTAGAGCTTACTTAGGTAGACGACCATTCACGCAGCTTGAGACTTGGAGAACAATTCTGAGCAATTCACTTCACTTTCAAAACGCACAAACATTTCCATATCTGCACAACGGTGTTGTTGCGCCAATTTGCATTTGTTGTTTTTACAGTTTTGCTGTAGTTTTGCATGCTGCGGGTGATTGTGTATTGTTTTACTTTAAATCTGATATCGTCTCTTCGACTGGCATTGCTTGACCGGTTTTCCTTCTAAGCAGATTTCTTTCGTTTAGTTTTTCCTCTCCTTTTCATTGCTAATTTTGTACTTATCTACTTGCTACTATTTATTATCATCCACACGCATGATGAATTTAAATTATTTAAACTGTTCACTGTTCATTAATTCGTGGATCAAAGGTTATTTATTTTCGCATCTTGTTTCCGAGATTACTTTTTTTTTTGCTTTTTGTTTGTATGTTTTTGTGAAAAACAATAAATCAATTTTTAAATTGGGTTGAAAAAAATGCGTCTTTTGTTTGTGTATGTATTTTTAGAAGCACAGCTGCTAAAATATGTCCCTTTTATTGACATTTGCCTTAAACTTTCCCGCCAAATACCAAAAAAAAAACCTTTTAGAGGTATTTATAAATGGTCGGTATTTAATAAGAATATATTTAAAGGGTTGCAGCAGCCGAAAACTTTGATGGCCGTATGTGCTGAAAGTCGATTTTGTTCTACATAGAAGTTAATTTTCGTGAAGAAATTACGATTTTTTTATACCGATGCACTATGGGTAATTTTACCCATTTGTATGGCAAAAATTAATTGTTTTCCAACAAGCAGATTATTTAAAAAACATGATTTTTTATTGATTGCCATAAAATTTCCCACACTGAAAAAAAACATAGAACTAAAAACTTATAAAAATTGTGGCAATGCTTTTTATACAATACTTCCAACTGATCTTAGAAGATTCTAAAAATTTCAAGAAGATTTTTTTTTTTTAAGATGTGAATTTAAAAACTTTCGAAAACTCTAAACAACGTTATGTTAAACAATTTTACATAAATTAAATTTATTTAAAATTTAGAGTTTGTAAAAAAAAAATTTTTTCAAAGTTCAGAAATTTATATCTTAAAAACCACCTTCTTGAAACTTTCAGTATATTTTTAGATCAATTGGAGGTGTATAAAACATTTAGCAAAAAATGTATGTTTTTAGATTTTGCGGTTTTTTTAATTTAAAAATTCTGTAATTATTCATTTTTCGAATTTTTTTAAATATATTTTTTATATAGCCCCAAATATAACCTTCAAAAGTAGACCTGCACTATTCGTGTAACGATAATAGTTATGAGATATTAAAAAAAAAATGCAAAATACAGGAAACC